CGCTCCTCCACCAGCTGTTGGAGCTGCCCCAGCTCCTTGTTCAGCTGGGTCTTGATATAGGCTCGAAGGATGGAGACCTGGCCTGCAGGGGCAGGAAAGAAAGGGCAGGTCAAGAGAGATGCTGCCTGGGGCTGAAGAATTGCCCCTAGCTGAGCAAATATAATTTCCAAGGCACCCCTTGGGACTACACAGGTGACAGTGTTGCTTCAGTTCAGGAAATGTCAGCCAGCCCTTCTGTGAAAGAGAGGTGGGCAGAATGGCTATGCCAGACTTTCTGGATTGCTACGTAGTAACTCTGTGACCTTAGGCTGGTGATTTAACCTTTCCATGCCTTAGTTTCCTCTTGTGTAAGAAATGGATAGTGATAGCAGCTAGCATCTAGGATTGAGGGAGGATTAAATGGGTTAATATATGTAAAATACTTAAAGTTTGCCTGGCACATAGTATTGCCAAATATGTGCTAGCTATTATTGTCATAGAATCATCCTATTACTGTTTTATAATCATCCTTTTCTGGAGTTCTTGCCTCATGTTGAGCAGCTCTGCTTTTATCTGTTTGTCATCTTGGACTTCTACATAAGGAATCCTTTGGAGAAAGGACACCATGACTGAAACAAGAAGTCTGACATCTTGATGTGATCTAAACCCTTCAATTTACACCTGCCTAAAGTCACTGGGGACCCTGACCCCTCCAAGTCCTCACTTGGCTCTTGTTCTGGCTCGACCTCTATTTCCAGTTCCTCTTCCTGTGGTGTGACTGCCTGCTCCTCCACCTCCTTGCTGCCTTCTTTCTCTGCAAGCCAGAAGCAAGAAGAAACTTCAGCCCCAGGCCCAGGCCCAGCCCCAGCCCTGGCTTTCTCCCTTACCTGTCTCATCCTCTGGCCAGAGCTTGCGTTGCTGTAGCCCCATATAAGTCAAAGATAGATCCAGCCGTACCTGGGAAGAGGAAGACGGCAGCTGAAAGGAGGGCACCTGCATTGAGGGAATGAGGGAGATGAAAGGTGGTCTCATAGCCCATGGTGCAGTACCTGGGGTGTGAAGACATATTTGTAGAGCTTGAAGTGGCGGAAATAGGTGTTGACCACATAATCTGCCAGAGCCAGCAGCTGTTCCTCCTTAAAGAGGTCGATACTAAAGGGGGGCCGCTGTAGGAGTGATTGGGAGTAAGAAGACTGACCACCTCCTGAAGCCCTGGCCTTTTCTCCAAGTGTCCGGCAGTCCAGGGGAAGGGAGGTCCCCCTGTGGCCTTCAGAGGAAGATGAGGGTGATGAGTGTGACTGGACTAGCCTTAATCTCGGGGAGAGTGAAGATCTAGTTCAGGGGAACTGACCCTGACTCCATGGCAAAAAAGAACACTGGTGAAGTAGCGGTAACATTCCTCCACGTTGCCCAAGGGGGTTGCTGGGAGGAAAAGCAAGATGTGACAGTGAGTCACCTCTCTGATAATCATTCATTTCACTCAATAGCTACTTACTGAGCATGAGCTTTAGAAGTGGCCAGATCTAGGTTTAAGTATTGGCTTTTTTTCATTAATTCACTCAACAAATATTGAGTACCCACTATGACTGTTTGGGGCACTAAACAAGAAAGATATAATCTTGCCCGTAAGAGGCTTATACTCTAGTGTAAATGACATACAGTAAACCAAGAAATACATAATTTCATCTTTTGTAAACATTCTGAAGAAAACCAGTTCTGAGAATAAAGGAGGAAAAGCATGAGTTATTTTATTGAGCACTGCATATGTTTACATATGTTACATATACTTCTCAGAACAGTCTCATAAAATTAGTGGTGTATGCTTTCTATAGATGAAATAACTTGTGTGTATCAATACTGCTCATAGTGACAGGACAGAACCCTTACTTCTACTTCTCACAGTCACTCGTGCTATCCAGCCTCCTCCTCCCTTGGGCTCAAACCTTCCATTAGCCTCCTCCTCTCACCAACACAGGCCTTGTGAAGATCTTGAAGCAGGGCACAAGCCGCTGATGTCTGCTCCAGTGAGAAGCCCTGCTGACGGCAAAAGATGAGTGCATGGGAGAAGAGATCCAGGGTGATGGCATCCCGCAGGCTCAGCTCAGGACAGCCTAGCCCCAACAGCTCGGCCAGCACCCTTGGGAAGGAGAGAGGGAGGAGTGAGTGACAACGGGAGCCTCCCTTCACTACTCTGCACTAGTACAGGGCATGCTTTGGAGCCAAGCATTCCTCATGCCTTCCCAGCCCACCCTCAGCTTTTCTCACAAGCTAACTCTTCCCTTCCCTGCTCCCCACGCCCCATACTCCCTCATCTCCTCAACGTTGGCTGTCTTCTCCAGCCTGTGCATGGAATGGATGTCCAGGTACTTCCTGTCATAGGAAAAGAGGAGAAAAGTTGTTGGTAACCCTTATGCATTAGTCGCATGGCAGGGCTCGGGCTAGGGCACTTAACAGGGAACCGGGAGACCTGAGATTGAAGTTCAGCGCCCTCCACTAACTACGTCCTTCTCTGGGCTTCACTTTTTCTATCTGTAAACATCAGGTATGATATGGCCTAAATGAACTCTTGTTCATTACAAAGCCTAGGGTTAGGGAACTTGAGCTTTTGTCTGCTGTCACTCCCTTGATGTCTGACCTTTGGTAAGTCCCCTCATGGGCCTCAGTGTCCCAGTTTGTACAATGCTCCACAGCAGCTGTGATATTCCTTTTACATCTTCAGTCTTTGGCACCCTTCCCACATTCTCTCTTTGGACTGGGGAGGCAGGAGAGCTGGCTTCTAGTCACCTTGGGTAACTGCATCTCTGCCTCAGTCTCATTTACAAAGTAGGGATGCCCTGGCTCTTTGACAGGACAGTTAGGGAGGCACTAAAGGAGTAATGGCAAGGGTGAAGTGTAACTTTCCCCCAAGACTCTTCACACTCACCACATGCAGATCCGGGGCTGGGGCAGCGGAGGCTGTGGAGAGAAAGCGGAATGGACCAGGGCCCTAGTCCCTGTCCCGTCGCAAATCTCCAGCGGGTCTGAGAACTCGCTAACTTGCCTTCTCATCTTAAGGACTATGAACGAGGAACGCCGGCGGGTTGGGCTTCATCAGAACTAAGTACTATACTATTAATCAGCATATTAACAACCGGGGTCACACACCCGCCTCTTCACCAAGGCAGCCCAGGAAACATCTTGAACGTTAGTAAACATAACGACGGAGCCCTTTTATAAAAATTCATGAGCGGACCACTCTGTCCCGCCCTCACCGGGAACAAGTTGGCTGCAGGATCTTCATCTGCTTCCACCAAGACCGCAGTCCCCGACTGGGTCCGCAAACCTGTTCTCATACATGTAGCCGATTCATCCACTGAGCTGAGGTCCTCCTCGGGTTCCCGCCGCAGTTCGCAGGGCTGTTCAAGCTCCGACGGCATTCTCATTCTCTGGAATTGGCTGGACTTATGGCGGATCATCTCTTCGCTCCTCCGTACTGCGGCCTCTATCCTGCTTCTGTTCTGGGACAACCGGTTCTCAGGCAGAATTTCCAAAGCCTGACCCTCTCTATCCACGCTTCAGCCAACCTACGCGGCTGAGAGGCCGGGCGCAGCCAATCCGCTGGGGGAGTCTCCTTAGGTCTCAACCGTGACCGTTGCTAAGAGGCTCCGGGAAAAAAAGAGAAAGTGTAGTACTCTCGCCAATAAGTGAGAAGAGAATGCGCATGCCTAGTAAGTTGCAAACCCCGCCCCTGTGCCTGTCTTCAAAGTTGCTAATAGGGGCCAGGCGATGTCATTAGGGGTGGGGAGTGGGCGTGTGGTTGTCAGTTGCCATGGGAACTGACTACTGGCCAATCACCAAGAGAAAGGAGGCGTTCTGGAAGAAACCAAACCGGAACGGAGAGGCGGGGCAAAGTGTGACCAATAGAAACAGGAAACGAAGGAGTCCCGCCACATCCGGCAGTGCCCCTGGCGCCTGCGCTCTGTGCCTAGTGATGTCCGGTGAGGTCCAAGATGGCGGCGCCAAGCTGATCCTGCTGCAGGTGAGGGACCCGGGGCAGGTGGCTACGGGATTCAGCAGGTATGTGCGGGGGATGGTTGCGGCTGAGGTGCACCGGTCGCGTCCACATCTCTCCTGTCTGTCTTCAGGTGACAGAAGTGCCACCTCTGCCCCCTGACGTCCCTCGGAATCCCCGCGCTGCTCCTGGCCTCCGCGGCCATGTCTGGGCCCGGCAACAAACGCACTGCTGGCGATGGGGGCTCCGGGCCCCCAGAAAAGAAGTTGAGCCGCGAAGAGAAGACCACAACCACCCTTATAGAGCCCATTCGTCTTGGGGGCATCTCTTCCACGGTTCGTGGGCTCCTGCCCCAGCCCTCACAACTTCTCAGCCCACATCATTCAGAACCTTACTCCCAGTTCTCTAAGTTTAGCAGGATCCACTTTACACAATACTCTGCTGAAAGAAACCAAGGACACGACGTCTGCAGATAGAAGAACAGGCTCCTGAAGGGCGTGTGCCTTGTCGGAGACTTCAGAGTTAGAAAGAAGCAGACGCAGATCAGTGCTAAGATCACAGCTAAGACGCAGATCACAGCTAAGACAGACGCTTTCCCTGGCTGTTTGAGCCTCTTTAAATCCTTTAGCTGTTAGTCTAGGGATACTCTTTTTCGCTGCCCATTACATTTGCTTTCCTCTGTTCCTCTCTCTGATTCATTTCTTGGGCCCTGTTTGACTTTCTCCTCGGTCCCTTCGTTTCCTTGGTAGGAGGAGATGGACCTGAAGGTTCTGCAGTTTAAGAACAAGAAACTAGCAGAGCGGTTGGAACAGCGACAGGCTTGTGAAGATGAACTCCGAGAACGAATTGAGAAGCTGGAAAAGCGGCAGGCCACAGATGACGCCACACTCCTCATTGTCAATCGCTACTGGGCCCAGGTGGATGCTCCTCTGCTTTCCAAGATCTGGTCTTGATCTAGCTACCAATCCTCAGACTTCTCTGCTGGGAAAGGAGTATCATACTGGGAAGCACCTGAGGGATTCATTACATTTTTGGTACTTTCTCCCTTCAGCTGGATGAAACTGTGGAAGCTCTTCTCCGACACCATGAGAACCAGGGGGAGCTGTCTTCAGGGACAGAGGTGCCTGGTATCCAGGAGGGGCCGACACGTGATGAGACTCCTCTCTCAGAGCCAGGGACATCGGAACTGAGGGGTAGGGCCAAAACCTTAGGATCTGGGGAGCTTTTAAGTTTGGGGAAAGGTCCCGGAGGAGGAGACTTTGATATTAGGCCCCTTAATTCCCTGCCTCCCCTCCCACACATGCACACAAAATCAATTTCATGTTTGGGCAGCAAGGTGCAGGGGGTAAGAACTTGGTTCATAGTGCAGTTTGTGTTTTGACACATTCAAAAAGGTAATATTGACTGTGCTTGGCAGAGATCTAGACTTGGAGGAGACATAGATAAGCAAAAAATAGTACTATTCTTGCTTTCAGAGGGAAATGATTATAAACCAAAGGCAAAGAAGACTTCCCTGAGGGAATGATATGTGGGCTCTGTGGCCTCAAATCTTTGTTGTTTCACTTTTGAAACGGGAATAACAGTGTACTAAAGGCACTGGTTGTGTTCATTCAGTGAGCCATAGAGTTTTGAAGGGCTTAGTCTAGAACTTGGTGCAGAGTGGTGGTAACTGCTGCTGTTATCCTCATGAGGGTCTGTCCATCCCTCCCAGAGACCCTGCCAATGAAGCTGCGGCCCCCACTCAGTGAGCCAGCCTTGGCTTTTGTGGTGGCACTGGGTGCCAGCAGTAGTGAGGAGGTGGAGCTGCAGCTGCAGGACCGTATGGAGTTCTCCAAGGCGGCAGTATCCCGTGTTGTAGAAGCCTCAGACCGCCTGCAGCGCCGGGTGGAGGAGCTCTGTCAGCGAGTGTACAGCCGAGGTTAGTTCTTTGTGCCCTGATTCCAGAGGTGTCCATCCCAGTTTGCATCTTTATGATATCCTTCAGTGCCCCTAGCCCAAAGGCAGCCAGAATTCCCCAAGGAATAAATCAGCCATGTTCTCGGGGGAAGGGTTAGATTGTAGATGGGGGCTCCAGGTTTGATTCCTGAAGTTGAACTCTGAAGAGTTGGGTAGGAGGAGTTGTTGATTCTAGTGGGGCCACCTCCTTCTGGCTGGATATCTCTTTGGAGCACTTTGCACAAATCTTGGTAGCAGTTGCTGATCTACAAGGCAGAATAGCAAGTGCCCAGGCTTTGCAGGCAGGGAGGCTTTGCCCAGCATTAATTCTGTCATTCTAGCCTAGGCATTCTGGGCAAATGGCTCTCCTCTCTGAGCTGGTTTCCTCCTTTGTAGAGTGGGGATAAAGACTCCTGGCTTTGTCGTGAGAAATTTGCAAGACAGCTGGTGGATCCCACTGGGCACATAGCAGACTCCAGAGTGAGTTAGTGCGCATCCCCATTGCCCAGGACTTGACTCTTACCTGAACTCTGCCTTCTCAGGGGACAGTGACCCCCCTGGTGAGGTGGCTCGGGCACGGACCCGGGAGCTGGGCCGTGAGAACCGGCGACTACAGGACTTGGCCACCCAGCTGCAGGAGAAACACCACCGAATCTCGTTGGAGGTGGGAGTTGGATTTTTTGGGGGTGGGATTAGAACCAGGGTAGGGTTTGGGTTAGGTGGCCACCCAAGGATCTTAGGGAGCCAAGTCCCTTCATCTAAGCATCTGTCTTTTTTATTTCTCCAGTACTCTGAGCTTCAGGATAAAGTGACATCAGCAGAGACCAAAGTACTAGAGATGGAGACAACAGTAGAGGACCTGCAGTGGGACATTGAGAAACTGCGCAAGCGTGAGCAAAAGCTCAATAAGCATCTGGCAGAGGCCTTGGAGCAGGTGGGGTAGGGTGCTGGGTTGGATGGAGCTGTAGCTGGGTACTTAAGGCCCTAGTTCTCCCCTACACGTTCATCTGTCTCCTCTCTACAGCTCAACTCTGGCTACTATGTGTCTGGGAGCTCCTCAGGTTTCCAGGGGGGCCAGATCACACTCAGCATGCAGAAGGTGAGTAGGCATTATTCTTTCAGTTTCTCCTATTTTCTATCCTTAAAATACCCCCACAGAATTAAAGACAGACATCCAACTGTGATCTCTGAGGCCCTTTCCTGTCACGCGTGCTGCTCTTTGTTTTGTTCATATGTGAATATATTCAGTAATCGCCGAATGTTAAGTGCTAGGCACTGTGGTAGGAAGCAGGTATACTGGAGAATAAAATAGATAAAACTCAAAGCTTTCATAGAGCTTAGTTTCTAGTTGAGGCAACTGATCAGTAGTAAGTAAAACTTTGGTTGGTTGTAAATACCACAAAGAAAAAAATAGAATAGAGATAAATAGAAGTATATTGGAGGCAGTTGGAATTCTTGGGTGGCTGAAGAAGTGTCTCACTTCAGGTGTATTGAATCAGTATCTCATTCCTCGTCCTGCCTTTGTTCTCTCACTGCTTGGCTGTTGCACATTGTCTTGGTGCCCTGCGGTCACTATGCCGTTTCCTTTTCCTTCAGCTTACTCTTCAGGGCTTCCAGGAAGGCTTCCCTGACTCCCTGTCGATTATAAGCCTTGGTTCCCAGCACTGACCATGCAGTATTGAATTTTCTCCCACTTGCCCAGGAACTCTTAGGAAAGTGCTTGGGCCTGGCTTGTCCCTACGGCTTCAGAATACATCATTGCTACACTTAGGGGAGCTTGGGTGGGGCTTCTCGTGGTGACGTGAGGGAAGCATGCCTCCTGGCCTGGCTCGGCCCTGGCTCCCACAGCCCTTCCCACTCTGCAGTTTGAGATGCTGAATGCAGAGTTGGAGGAAAACCAGGAATTGGCCAACAGCCGCATGGCAGAGCTGGAGAAGCTACAGGCTGAACTTCAGGGTGCTGTGCGGACCAATGAGCGCCTCAAGGTGAGCTGTGTTTTGGGTTTGGAGAGTCCGAGCTTGCAGGGTAGGGGCTGAGTCCTGAATTCTCTTGCTGATTACTTCTGAGCATCTCTTCTCTTAGGTGGCCCTGCGGAGCCTTCCTGAGGAAGTGGTACGAGAAACAGGGGAGTACCGAATGCTGCAGGCCCAGTTCTCACTGCTCTACAATGAGTCTCTACAAGTGAAGACCCAGTTGGATGAGGCCCGGGGTCTGCTGCTGGCCACCAAGAACTCCCACCTGAGACACATAGAGCATATGGAGGTACAGCCCTGGAATGGGTGGGGGCTGCGGGTAAGGATCAGATCCTTAGGGTCAAGGCGTTCCTGGGTCAAAGTCAGGGATCCCTTGAGAATAAATTCTTAAGCCACTGAGGCCTGAGGTGGGGGGCTTGCCACGGGGCTGAGGGATAGTGTGGAACTTCAGTGCCTCAACCCACAGAGCGATGAGCTTGGGCTACAGAAGAAGCTGCGCACAGAGGTTATCCAGCTGGAGGACACGCTGGCCCAGGTACGCAAGGAGTACGAAATGCTGCGCATCGAGTTTGAACAGAATCTGGCGGCCAACGAGCAGGCGGGTATGTGGTGAGATGAAGTGGAGGTGGGGCCTTATCTGGGATTACTGTGCCCTGGTGTGGGGCTCCTGCTTGTCCAGATACAAGAAGTTTAGCCCTTTCCTTTCACAGAGCCTCATCTCCCTGTGGAAAACAGGTACCACACCACCTGGCTCAAAGGCATAGTGAGAGCCACAACCAGTTGAGGTAGATAATGCAGCAGGCTTAGTCAGAACGTGAGCTGTCAGCCCCGTGCCCCATCTGTGGTTCTCTGGCCTTCTGGTGTCTCTCTCAGATATTCATTTTACAAAGATTTATTGAATACCACCTATGAGGCAGCCTCTATTCTAGGCTTTGGGATTATACCAGCAAACAAAACACAAAGAATTCTCGCTAGCGTGGAGCAATATTGTAGTGGGAGAAGACAGGCAATAGAGAAGAAAAAATTGAACATGCATGTTAGGTAGTGATAAATATACCAAGAAAATAAAGCAGAGAGAGAAGATAGGAAGTGTTAGGAAAAAGGGTGTTCAGTTTTGGATGGGGAAGCTAGAGAAATGTATAACCAAGAAAGTGACGTTTGTTTAAGAAGAATCTAAAAGACTAATTTACTTTGTGAATGTTACAGTTATGTGTTTCTTTGAAAGAAATTTGGAAGTATTAAAATGTACATTAGCAGAAATAACACATAGTGTTATTTCAAGTTACTTGGAGGTGAATTTCCTTCAGTTCTACATTATTTGATAAGATCACATTTTATCTAAGGGCTCCCTCAGTTTTTCTCTTTATAATGGGACTAATGGCTCTGGCTCTGCCTCTTCTCCTACTGAGAGGTCAGGCCCCTAACCCAGGGGCCAGTCTGACTTTAGTTCCCAACCTTCCCCTAGGGCCCATCAACCGTGAGATGCGCCACCTCATCAGCAGCCTCCAAAATCACAACCACCAGCTAAAGGGTGATGCCCAGCGATACAAGCGGAAACTGCGGGAAGTGCAGGCTGAGATTGGCAAGGTGAGGAGGGGGCTGTATAGGAGGAGCCTTGGCTAGACCCCGGTGAGTACTGTGTCACCTCAGCCCTGTTTTCTCCTATTCTTTGCAGCTCCGGGCCCAGGCCAGTGGCTCTACTCACTCCATCCCTAACCTGGGCCACCCAGATGACTCTGGCCTCAGTGCCCCAGCCCCAGGGAAAGAAGAGGGTGGGCCAGGCCCTGTCATTGTCCCCGATGGCAGAAAGGAGATGGCTTCAGTGCCTAGTGCCATCATAACTACCTCCTCTGTGAAGAAGGAGGAACTGGTCCCCTCTGAGGAAGATGCCCAGGCCCTAACTCCTGGGTCCCAGGGCCCCTCCTCCCGGGGCCGAGAACCTGAGGCCAGGCCCAAGCGAGAACTTCGGGAGCGGGAAGGGCCTGCCCTGGGACCCCCACCTATAGCCTCAGCCCTCTCGAGGGCTGATCGGGAGAAGGCTAAGGTGGAAGAGGCCAAGAGAAAGGAGTCAGAACTCCTCAAAGGTCTTCGGGCAGAGCTCAAGTGAGTCACTGTTCTCATCTCCTCCCCCCTGCCAAGTGGTCTCCAGCCCTACTCATCAAGCCTTCCTCCCCTAGGAAAGCCCAGGAAAGCCAGAAGGAGATGAAGCTGTTGCTGGACATGTACAAGTCAGCGCCCAAGGAACAGCGGGATAAGGTGCAGCTCATGGCAGCTGAACGCAAGGCCAAGGCCGAGGTGAGGGCAGGTAGGGCCAGTGGGGCATGCAAGAAGCTGCCCCAGGAGGTTCTGACCAGAGCAGAGACCTAGGTCAGTAGGAAGCCGTGACAGGCTAGCTCCCTCCTTTTGGTGGCTGTAGGTTGATGAGCTACGGAGTCGCATCCGAGACTTGGAAGAGAGGGATCGAAGGGAGAGCAAGAAGATCGCGGATGAGGATGCCCTGCGGCGCATTCGGCAGGCAGAGGAGCAAATAGAACACCTGCAGCGCAAGTTGGGTGCCACCAAGCAGGTGCGAGCCACTTATGGTCCTCTTCTGAATGTTGGGATCCTCTTAAACCCCTGTTAGGTGCTTCTGGCACATGTCCTGGTTCCACTGTGTGGTTTTTTGCTCAGCCATGTTTTCCTGTGGTTTCCCCATAGTCATCCTATTCATCTACCACATTCTTCCTTGTCCCTGCCCACTGCAGGAGGAGGAGGCCTTGCTCTCGGAGATGGATGTGACAGGTCAGGCTTTTGAGGACATGCAGGAACAGAATGGGCGGTTGCTACAACAGTTAAGGGAAAAGGACGATGCCAACTTTAAGCTGATGTCAGAGCGGATCAAGGCCAACCAGATTCACAAGCTGCTGCGGGAGGAGAAGGATGAGCTGGGCGAGCAGGTTCTTGGCCTCAAGTCCCAGGTATGGCCACCCAGGTCTTATAGGGTGGTGCTGGAGAGGCAAGTGCTCCCCAGCCCTGAATCCCTGCCACTCTTCTCAGGTGGATGCCCAGCTGCTGACAGTGCAGAAGCTGGAGGAGAAAGAGCGGGCCCTGCAGGGCAGCCTTGGGGGTGTGGAGAAGGAGCTGACGTTGCGCAGCCAGGCCCTGGAGCTCAATAAGAGGAAGGTGAGGCCAGACCTGAGGGGAAAGCAGCCTAGGACATTGGCTCACAGCTGAAGTCTGGCTCAACATCTTGAACGTTTACTATGTTTCAGACCCTGTGCTAAGGAATTTCCGTACTTGGTCAGATTTTAGTCACAGAATAATCCTTTGACGGTTTTTGGGCCTGAGTCTCTTTGGTTGCAGGACCCACATCCTAACCACTGCATTGGTTAGCTGTAAAATAGGGGTGGTGTTTCTTGTCACATAGTTATATTAAACCTTAGAAACGTCTAGGTGGTGCTAAAGGCTTAAGATTGACATTGATTTTTGTCTTTCTTTTACTGGGCTTTTTCTCCTGTTTAATTCATTAAGCAGTATCGTACATGTCATTGTTGTATATATCAGGCCCCGCACTAAGTGCTGGGGGAGACTATGGGAACAAGAGCGTCCTATTGGAATCAAGAGTATCTAGTCTTGAGGGACAGGTAAGCAAGCCAATAATCTCAAGATAAAATAATGCTATTACCGATCACAGTAAGATTCACGAAGGAAACTAAGGTGCTGTGAAAGAAAATAGGAAGTAACATTTGAGCTGAAGCCAGAGAGAGCTGCAGGAAAACAGTATATGTTGGGGGAGGTGATAGTAGAGGGAAGATCCCTGTGAAAGCTCAAAGACGGAAGAGAGCATTATGCAGGTGGGGAACTGAAAGTGTTAGACTATGGTAAAAGAGGAGGTGAGGGTCCAGACGTCAGGAGGCAGCACCAGCTTATGAAGATATTGGACTTGATCCCAAGAGCAAGAATCATTGGAATGTTTTATATAAGCATCCATGGACCATGGCTCTCCCTAGGCTCAGGAGAATGATTCCCCTTTCTCCTTATCTTATCTACCTCAGGCTGTGGAAGCGGCCCAGCTGGCCGAAGATCTGAAGGTACAGCTGGAGCACGTGCAGACACGGCTGCGAGAGATCCAGCCTTGCCTGGCAGAGAGCCGGGCTGCTCGAGAGAAAGAGAGCTTCAACCTCAAGAGGGCTCAGGTGTGTGCATGGTGGGGGCAGGGTGGTCCAGGGTCACTGGTGAGGCCTGGGGAGGTGGGTGAGTCAGAATGAGGACCCTTGCACTTAACGTAGCCCCTCTACTGCTTCAGGAGGACATCTCACGGCTGCGGCGCAAGCTAGAGAAGCAGAGGAAGGTAGAGGTTTATGCAGATGCCGACGAAATCCTCCAGGAGGAAATCAAGGAGTACAAGGTGGGGTTGTTGGTCCCCATCAACCTAGGAATCTTGGAGGGGGAGGTTGGCGAGAGCTATAGTGGGCAATCTGGGGACCCTAGAAATAAGATAGGGTAGCAAAAAGTGGGCAGAACCCATTGTGGAGAATCAGACAACTGACCAAGTATCGCACATACTGCGTTCCAGGCAAGAGTGCCTGGCTAGGTGTGGAAGGGCTGGGAACTAGACCTAGTCTCAGATCTCTTGAAACTGGCAGTGTGTTGGAGGAGACAGCCAAGTAAGTCTCCCATCAGAATGATGGGCAATGTGATGGCAGAGGCCAGAGGGGAAATGTCATCCAAAGGAAACATGAAGAATGAGTCAGTTAGCTTTGAGGAATGGGACAAGAGGATTCTGGAAAAGGGGGAGGCAGAGGTGAGGCCCCTAGTTGAGAGAAGTGTGCTGGAAGACAGAGCTGGACATTGTCGCTGGAGGACAGAACATGGGTTTTGTGTTGAGTGGCAGGCTTAAGGGTGTTGGGCAGTGTCACATTCTGAAGGGTGCGGTAGCCAGGTTGAGATACTGTAGGTAGTATAGAGATGTGAAAGAGTTTTAAACCAGAGAGTGACATGATCTGATTTGCTGTTAGATGTGAGCTAGAGCAGGTAAAGACCAGAGACAAAGAAATTTAAGCTATTGCAGTCATTGAGGTAGAACCTGATACTGAGCTCATCCAAGGTATGACAGACAAGTAGAGGAGTTTAGGAGATAGAAGTGCTTAGACTCAGGGATGGATTGAATGTATGGAGGGAGAGGGAGGTACCAGGGAGAACTCCTGGGTTCTTGATTTAAGAAGCTGGGTGGATGACAAGTGATAGTGAGATTAGGAAGACTGTGGAGGAGTAGGGATTGGAGGACAGTGTTCAAGGATGTTGAGAACAAGGGTGGCTGTCTGGGAAGGCACTCAAAGCAAAAGAGCTGGTCTGAAGAAGGGGCTTGCAGGATTGTTAGCAGAGACAGAGGTGGAAGCAAGGGTCTGTGGTATGGAAAGGGACAGAGGTCATTCTCCCTCAGGAACCTCAAAGCTTAAATGATGGGCCAAGACAGAGAAGCCGGTGGTTTGGGAGGAAGGAAAGTGATGCAGAGGGAGTTGATGGGGGAAGAATTTCAAGGAGGCAGGGATGAGCTGAGTCAGAACTGTCAAGAAGATATGAAGTGGGTGATGAGAGATGTCGCTTAGATTTGGCAGTCTTGGTGGGAATGGTTATTGGGCGGGGGTGGAGGTGGAGGTTAGATCACCTACACACTCACTAACTGGAGCAAAGAGAGGGCAGAGGGTAGGTCAATAAATAATAAACCTTTTGAAGCAGTTTGGTCTTGAAGAGGCAGAGGTGGCCAGAGATAGCCATGGGAAAGGGCAGGATTTCTGAAGAAAAGACAGACTTTAGAGCCTGTCAAATGCTGATTGGTAGGGTCCTGAGAGCTAGGGAAGAAGGGGCGGCAGGCTGGATGAGATGTCAAGCAGAGGAGAGGTGTGTTGGGGAATGCAGAATTGAGGGAATTCTTGTCTAGAGTTTGAGGTGTGACCTGGTGGCAGGTTTCGGCATAGGAGAGATGAGTGTAATCTCCATAGAGAGATTTATGAAACCTTCAGGGACCCACAGAAGGATCTGTGGGCAGCACCAGAGATGGACCCATTTAAGAGTAGAGACAGCATATTTCTAGTGGCACTGCAACGCCCAGTTGTGACTGTAGCAGGTACAGTAGACGGTGGGCTTAAACCAGGATTAGGGTTTCTCCAGAGAAGGCCAGAGGGGAAAGTGATGAAGCACTGGGGCAGAGATGCCTAGGCTAAGCCTGTGAGTTGTTGGGGGTGAGAGGGAACACATGACCACTGGCTACCCTCGCCCAGGTTAGAATCCAGACTACTTTGTAGTTTTGAGACCAGCCTCTGAGTCTGTTTTCTCATGTGGAGGGTGCTCATCCCTACCTTCCAGGGTTATGGTAATAGTTAGACGAAGTCTGCTGTGTGGTGGCTTAGCCTGGACCACCTCCTGCTGTTAGCGTGGGGTCTGGGTACCATCATGATTGTTCCCGAGCTGATGCCTTTGCCTGGCCCAGGCGCGGTTGACCTGCCCCTGCTGTAACACCCGCAAGAAGGATGCAGTCCTTACCAAGTGCTTCCACGTTTTCTGCTTCGAGTGTGTGCGGGGCCGCTATGAGGCCCGCCAGAGGAAGTGTCCCAAGTGCAACTCAGCCTTTGGTGCTCACGACTTCCACCGTGTCTACATCAGCTGAACCCGTAACTCAGGGGACTTTGGAACATCCGTGGACCCTGTGGGCCCAGTCCCTCTGCACCTAGTTGGTTTGTAGGCCCCAGCGCACACTAGTGGGAGTGAGGTCAGCCAAGCTCCATTCTACCTTTCCCCCACAGTCACAGCTGCGGCCCAGGGGGCACCTGCCCTGCAGGAAGGTCTGCTATGAGACACCTCAGGGGTCCAGAGCATCTAACTGGGCTCCCTGGAAGCTGACCCCAGCTCTTTTCCAACTATCTCCACGGGCCCATCCTAGCTCTAAGGGGGGTATTTTCCCAGGCTGTGACCTCTTACGAAAGAGGGGACTCAGTACCTACTTAATATACCCACAAGTGAGGATCAGAGATGGGCCAGCCCGTTGCTCTGAGACTGGGCCCTCGAGCCCAGGGAGACTTTCTTTACATCCTGCACCCCTCCCCTCACCCTGGGCCTGGGCAGGGCTTCTGTCCTGTGGAGTTCTGTGAGCTCTTTGGTCTGGCTCTTGTGATAAGGGCTGAAGGAGATACCCCTTATCAAGGCAGGGTGGGGCACTATTCTCTTCCTCTGGGAAGCTCAGTGGTTGCTACAGTCACCTTGTCCTGTTGAGAGTGCTGAATCAAGAGCATCAGTTTCTATTCTAATCAGGCCTTCCCAATCTCTACTTTCTCAAGCTCACTTACCCCACCATGCTTCCCAAGATCCAATGGGCCCCCTGACCTTGCTTTCATCCTGGTGGCCTTAACTTCATTGGAAGCAGAACTTCCCAGGAGGGGAAGGGACAGAGTAGCTGCTGGGCCAACTTCCGATCATTCCAGTAGAAGAGTTTCATCTAACCCTGTGACTGAGCCTGTACACATGATGCTTCCTGTGCTACCTGCCCAAGCAAACTCTGGGCTGTGAAGGCAGCAGGCTGGGCCTGGAAGGTGGAGCCACTGATAGGTGCAAGGGCCCATTCAGACCCTGCTCTAGAGATGTCTTGTATAGGCTGTATGTTATGAATAAACGGCCAGTCCTCAGCCTATGGTTCGAGTAGCCAGGTTTCCTGCCCTAAACGTGGTCCCTGGTTTAGCTGCTATATCTGCCCCAAGCCTTCCCTGGCTGGCGTGTGAACTTGGAGCGCCTGTGCAAATGAGACCCCGCATGTCCACCCCCAACATTTAGTAACACTTTTAGATCTAACGGCTGTCAGGAGTTCCGTACTGGGGAGGAGCGTGCCTGCAGGGAGAAAACATCGTGGGCGCTTGGAGCCAGCCAGCCATCCCTCCCACCGGAAAGAGCTGAGGCGATCAAGTCCCTTCGTTCGCCACGTTCCCGGCAGTCATTGGCTGCTGGGAAGCTTCGAGCTGCATCCTGGGAAATGTAGTCCCTTATTGGTACCTGGCGACGAGATCCTCGGAGGGGGAATGTCAGTTTCCCGGTTGTGCAGCTCAGAGTTTGGCGTGGACCCAATCCGCGGGCTATCCCCTCCCCAACAGCTTTACCCGTCCCTACCCCTCAGGCGGACAGATTGAGACACCTCAGCGGGTGACCACCTTCATTGCAGCTTACACCAGCCGCTGGCCGTGTTCCATCAGGAACCATGTTTCAAGTGTGAACAGCCGTTTCCAGATTCAGCGCGGTGTCGGGTCCTGCGTGAGAGCCGCCACTGAGACTCCACTGGGGCTCGCAATGGGACCGGAACGGTCCCGGTTTTGTGCTGGAGCTGGTGGCGGGTCCATGGCAGCAGTCGCACATTCGCGCAGCCCTGCAGACTTGGCAGTCGCACCTTCGCAAGGGCTGGCAACCTTATCTGTCTTCGGGCCCCACCTGGCGCCCGGGGTTTCGGAGGGACTTGACCGGGTGGGACTGGAGACGGACACGCGGGCTGCAGTGACTTCCTGACCCAGGCCGGCAGCAGTGGGCACGCTTACCGAGGCACGGGCAGCAGCAGGGGATGGCATCTGGCCGCTCTAGAAGTGTGCGGGGGCCTGGGAGACAGCGGTGGCAAGGGTGGGGGAAAAAACGCAGCATATTACATCATAGAGAGGCGGCCGGGCTCTGAAAGGAGGAGCATGGAGCCCGGGAGCTGCTTCAGATCAGCCAATCTGTGATCGATACCCTTTTTCTCGGTAGTCACCTATACTTGGGCTCCTTAAGTAAATGCAAGTTACTACACATCATCTTCCCAAATATCTCCTCCCCTAGGCCAGTCTCCATATCCAGAGGAGCTATGAACTCCTTTTGAGTCCTCGTACTTAGTAAAGTAGGCATCAAACCACTTTCTCAAGCTTAAGGAAGTGGGATAACAAGGTCAGAATTTAAGTGGCAGGAACAAGCACTGATGCCACAGGAAGAAGAGAGTAATCCATAAACATTTGTATGCAATGAGCCTGCCCCGTGTTCGGAGAATCTACCTTAGGGGCTTGTCAGGCCCCTCCAGCCAGGAGGTTTGACCTCTTAAAAACCCCGGTAGCCCCATTGGCCTCAGTGGCTATGATGCCTTGGGTCCCTGGGATGGGCAGGCCAAAACTTTTCCTGGACCAACCTTGACCCATGGAAAACATGCCTGTTTTAGCCAGAACTGGGGCTGCAGCCTGTGATTGGTCACACAGTCCAGTGGAGCATTCAACACTGACCATTCTCTTTAGAATTTCCCTTGGGCCCTATGGTGCTACTCTTTTGGTTTTCTTCATATTTACTATCTTCTGCTGGTCCTATTCTTTCATTCATAAGCTAGACTCTGATTTCTACTCTGCCAGTCTTCCTGGGTGTGTTTATCCATGGCCATGGCTACAGCTAAGCTGCTAAGGCCCAACTCCTCCATCCCAGTTCTCTTTCCTGAGGTCCAGACCTAGAAAAATCACACTGTTGGGGTGAGGCTGGGGGTAAGATCATGTCACTCTCAAAAATCCCCCAATGGGGCCCTATCCCTATGTTCCTCAAACAAGATGCTCTATACTCTGCTCTCTCTTTTTTCAATCCTCACTCCTCTATGCTCTAAACCCAAACCTAGTTGTTATGCACCCTGTATCCCCCACCCCACACCTGGCCCTTACACATACTATTTCCTGTTCTTGTAACCCTCATTCCTTAGGTCGTTTCCTCCAGCCAGTTTCCTGTCCTTATGCTGTGGCAGGCACCATGGCTGGGTGCACAGCTCCTTCTAGGTGTCTGAACAAACCACTGTGCTCCAGTGCCTGTTCTTTTCCTGTAGTCTCCTTACTTTACTGAGGACTTGTCCTGTGCTGGGACCAGTTCTAATGTACCTCAGCGTCCTCAAGGCTGAGAACACAGGGAATGTGGGATAGCCTTCATTACTCACCTGTTAGTGAAAGGCAAATTCCTCCACCCTGCCCCTTACTCCACCCCTTGCTTACCAAATAGGTAAAAGGAAGGAGAAGCAATGAGCCCACTCTGGGAATCTGGGTCAGAGAAGCACAGGGAAGGTGAGGAGATAGCTTCCTGGCTGGGGCAGGAGGTCCCCAGCAGACTGGGACAGAGGCAAGAGATGGATTAGAGCAAGTGTTGACCTCAGGCTTGGAAGTCATGGCCGGGCCTAGGCCCAGGAGACAATGCTGAGGCAAGCCTGGCATTGAGGATTCATTGGAGAATCCCTGCCTGAGCCAGACAGTGTGGAGCCCAGGCCAGGCCCAGGCAGGCCCAGGGATGGGGAGAGGCTTGATTGAGTATAGAGTCTGCTCCTGGCTGTTCTGGTTTTACTTACTGCCTTGGACCTTGGGCAAGTGGCTACCCTTCTGAGACAGCATCTCCACACAGTGAGGGCTATGGGTTATATCCTGAGAAAACAAGCCAGGTCTCCATCCATCTCTCAGGGTCTGTGGGGCTCTGGTTCAGAGAAAGGACTGGGCCAGGTCCAGGCCAGAGGGAGTGGCCTCCAGCTTCTGGACCTAGATCGTAGGAGCTTTTCCATGTGGCAGTCTGGGGAGGGTGCGGGTGTTGTGACCCGAGAGGCCTCCCTGGGGCCACACGGCTGGACCTGAGCCAGCCATCAGTCAACACGTGCGGGTGCCAAAGTCAGACGTCAGGAGCTGCTTGGCTCTACTGCTGCCACCTGAGAACATTTCTCCCTCTCTCCTAAAAATATGCATTTTAAAACTCCATAAACCTTCAGGCTCCCACCAGCATACATGGGGTGGGGATTTTAGGGCCTCTGGGAAAAGGGTTCAAAGGCAACCTGGAATAGGGCTGAGCTTTTGAGGTTATGAACGGACACTGGCTCTGGGAGAGGATAAGCTCTTTCAGCTTGCTCTAGGCTTGAAAGAGCAGACAAAACACCTGGGAAATCTTATTCCCTTTATTCTAATCAATATGACCACCGGTGACACAACACTTTTTGACACACAACACTCAAAAGTGGGGCCTCTCTCCACTCTAGGGGGACAAGTCAGGTGAATGGGGCTTCCCTAATGGGAGCAAAGGAGTCTAGGGGCTGCTCACCTCAGGGGCAGGTGTCATGGAACCCCACCTGTTGGTTTTGATAGTTTCAAGTTTCCCCATCAGAATTCATGCCCAGATCCCATTTGATCTCCATATCCATAGCAGTTTCGTTTCACCCTAAGCTCAGATCAGTTTCCACTCTTCTCTCTGCTTTTACCAATGACTCTGTTACCCTATCTGTTGGGCTTCTCAACCAGGGCACTTCTGAAGAGTCAGGCCTGTGTGGAGTTGGACAAGAGGCCTTTTAGACTGAGGTGGGCCTTTGCCTGAGCTGATCAGTGGGACTCTGGACACATCTACCTCCCCCAGCTGCTTCCCTGCTTAGTTCATACCAAGATGTAGCTCACTCAGAGAGGGAAGCATCTGGCTAAAGGAATTCGGGGAAGTGGGCAACATAGAATAGGTCACAGTCCAAAGGTCTCCAATTCTGCCCCTTTCCTGCTACAAAACCCAAGACCCCAACTCATCATCCATTCAGTACCGGAGCCAAAACTCCTGGCCCTCACCCATTCCTACAACATGCGAGCACTCTACTACATATGCTACACTCCAGTCCTCAATAGAGCTACAGTCGGCCTTCGACCACACTTACCACATTCCCCCACCCCCGACTGGCCCCCAAAGCCCCGAAGTCTGTTCCCTAGGACTCTTCTAGAGACAGATTCCTCAGACCTGTTCTGAGGGCATCTGCTTCTAGCTTTACAAGGGGTTTGTCTACAACTGGAGTTTCTTTCTGCTACCATCGTAGAGGGGAAAAAATCTGCTTTGACTTGGAGGATTGTCTCCTCTTCCTCAGTCTCATAGGGACACCCCCATTGTGGACGCTTCTGTCAGTAGAGATTCAGCAGGCAGCATCCTTCTCCCCTCAGTAGTGTTTTCCGACCTGGCACTTGGGTCGGGTGGGGCTTTAATGCAGATGTTAATAAGGGTCTCCCCACAATCATACAAGGCCTGCCTTTTCCTTCTCTCCAGCAGACCTGGGTTTTTCCTCCTACAGTGTTCTAGATTGTGATCCTTCAAATTTGAGGGTCATCCCTTTGGGGGTAGGGTAGATCAAGGGTGAAGGAGTTTCATCTTTTGAACTCTAGGTAATAAAATTAGAGGTCTCTTCCACAGCTTCGTTGAAATCCGGGTCCCCTTCTTCCAGGGATGTGACTGCTGAAGGGCCATCTCATTTGGCATCTCAGTTCTCTTACTCCAGGACCACAGTGCATTACTGATGACAACATGGGATCAGTGGGCATTTCCTTTGGATCCAGCACTGGACAGAGTCTCCAGGTTAGGGGATGGGGTTCTTATTGTAGGTGTTTCAAGAGTTTTCTCCAACCATTTTGGAGGGCAACAGTCTCTTTCCCCTGCCACACACACCCAGTCATGTTAGTGGGTTTGGCTGGGTTAATAAAAAGTGTGTAACTGTGTGTGGTGCGTGAGGACAGGAGATGGGCCTGGCAGGAAA